CCCCCCCGTTAATCCGCGCCTGATGCAACCCGCCCGCACGCCTGCACCCGGTACAGTATAAGCAAAATAAAGGAAGGGGTCTCTGGACCACCCTGTATAAATAACACTCACGTCAGAGTGCCACCCAACATCCGCCGAATATAAGCGAAAAAGGCGACAAACGCGAATCTTGAATACTCGCCTCTAACGCCCCCTCCTCCTTTCCACACACAAAACACCCCCTTTACATACAAAAAATGTAACTTTCCATCCTTACCAGGTGGTGTATCAGAGCGGACACCGTAGTGTTGCGGGGTTACCTACTCACTCTGCTCGTAAGGCACCACAGGCCCCTGCGGCTCAAGATGGTATGCAAACCCACAACACGACAGCATCCGCTCTGACACCCGGTACCACTGCAAAAAGCGTGGCGTGGCGTGTATAGCGTCGCCCGCTTGCTCTTGCCTCTTGCCACCCTTGCCCGCCCGGCTCCCCTTTCACGTCCGGCCTGGCTGGATCCGCACCTGGGAACGAGCGGCCCAACGACTCGTTGAACACCCTCAAAGAACCCTATCTTCTTTGACATCGTGTTTCAAGTGATATTAACTTCCGTGCCTTGATACTTTCTCCCTCGCTCCCGCTCTCGTTGGCCCACGTGAACACGTGACCGTGTGTGGGTTTGTCTGGCTGGTGGGCGCTGGGGTATGTGCCCCCTCCCCGGCCGCCTCGCGCTCCTTGCCGCGGGTGATGAGCCCCATCACGGTCCACCCCGGGCCGGCCGGGTATAAGAGGCCACCCGGGCCACGGCAAAGGCACACAACTCAGCGTGTCGTCCAATCACCATGTGGAAGGTAGGTGCTCTCAGTGCTCTCCGCGGCGGTCCCGCAGCCGTGCACGTCCAGCCCACCACCTCTAGCAGCACCGCGATGACGGTCGCTCGCCCGGTCCGATCTCATTGTCTTCTTGGTGCAGGTCATCTGCTTCCTCGGTCTCCTGGCCCTCGCCGCCGGCGAGTACGCGCCTCCAGCGGCCGCGGCCTTCGCTGTCGCCGCTCCCCTGCCACCCCCGATCGCCGTGGAGCCCGTGTACGGCGTGCCCGCCAAGGAGTACGGACCTCCACCATCCATCCCTGCGCCCGCACCTCCGCCGCC